ATTTATACAAAGTCATCTTATTGCCCCCACAGTCTGGGTCCTCAGTTTACCTACCTTAGAAAGGATGGAAGGCTGAGTCAACCTTGAGCCTGGTGAGATTTGAACTTGCAGTAATTGCAGGCAGCTGATGTTAATAACAGTGCTTTAGTCTGCTGCGCCACCGGGGCTCCTTAAGGCTACAAGAAGAGCCCTTCAAGAATCTCTTAATGTTGCAAATGTGGGCAGCCAAATCCTTCCTGAATTTCTCCAGAGATTCAACAGAGCATTCCCGATGGCCATTTGTCTATTTGAATTCATTTAGAGCTAGATGTTAATAGGGGCTCCATTAGTTTTTGTTTTTTTTTTTAAATTTGATTTATATGCCGCCCTTCTCAGGAGACTCAGGGCGGCTTACAATGCGCTAAGCAATAGCCTTCATACTTTTGTATATTTATACAAAGTCAGCTTATTGCCCCCACAAACTGGGTCCTCAATTTACCTACCTTAGAAAGGATGGAAAGCTGAGTTAACCTTGAGCCTTGGAGAGATTCGAACCAGCAGAAATTGCAGGCAGCTGTGTTAATGACAGGGTACACTAAACCACTGTACTATCAAGGCTCCTATCAAGTTTAAGATTTGTCCTGTCAAGAATGCTATGGCTCGATGCATATCCATACATGACAAAGTTCAAAAGGCTACAGTCATTTATGTTTCAGCTGGTTGTGTGAACCAGGTCATCATATTAAGAATCCAATGTTTTCCTTGTTTGGCTCCAGTCTCTTTTCTGATCATAGTAATAATGTTCCGTTAACCCTGAAATCTTGTTCTTTTCATCTAAGGTGTATTTAAATCCCGCCCATTTCAGGAAACTGGTATTAAAATACAGAGCATCTGACGTAGAGGTTTCATGTAGCTATTATATCTAGTAGCAGTTGATAAATGTAGCTCCCTTCCCAAATTTGTTTAGCTTTTTATTTCCTTTAATTAATTTTGCAAACAGCCATATAGAAAACAAGCAGCAATTAGGGGCTAATTAACAGAACAATGTTGTTGCAATAATATTGTTTTAGCATAGCAAAATTGGTATTTTTTATTTTTATTTTTTGTTTAACCCAAGGCGGATATTGTAGAATCACGCAGTTTGTGTTGGCAAACAATTTATTCATTTCTCATCGAAAGGCTACCTATCTTATCTTTTACAATTCTGTCTTCCCTCCATAAAATTCAAGACGGTAAATTTCTCTCCTCACAGGTAGATGAGACTTAAAATATGGCTCATTCATTCATACCACACTGTAGTCAAATTGGGAACCTGTCACTCTTAGTGGAAATAAATTTCACAGACAAACACTTCCCAAATGCAAAACTCCACACTTGTGCAACAGATGAGAAGAAACACGCTTGGATACTCTACCTATATCCCCAGGTGCCATATGGAAATTGTAAAATGCAGGTAGTCCTCTAGTTTCAACAGTTCGTTTAGTGACCATTTGAAGTTACACCACCACTGACAAAAGTGACTTTAGACTGTTTTTCACACAACCATGGCAACTTCCCTGCGGTCAAGTGATCAGAATTTGGATGCTTGGCAACTGGTTCATATTTACGACGGTGGCAAGTGTCCTGGGGGGGGGGGTCATGTGACAGCCATCAGTAAACCTTCTTACAAGCCAAGTCAACGGGGAAGCCGGATTCACTTAGCAACCTTTTTACTGACTTCACCACGGCAGCGATTCGCTTAGCTGTGGCGAGAGAGGTCGTAAAACGGGTGCAAAACTCACTTAGCAGCTGTCTTGCTTAGCCCCAGAAAGTTTGGGCTCCGTTGTGGTCGTAAGTCAGGGACTACCAGTATTAGCAGCAGCAGGACAGAATTTTGAAAAAAACCCTTCCTAACTGTCCCATCATATTGCATGAGAAAAGTTTCATTTTGCAAGGACGCTGAAAGAAATTTAAGATTTGTGCAATTTACAACGCTTGAAGCTTAACCTCAACAACTCTGGGAGAGTTTTTTTCAACTTTGTCTTGAGGTATGCAAAACACAACACTCCTGCAGAAAAAGAGTACCTCTGCCCATGTACAAATTTTGCTCCTTATCCCATAGCCCCTTGCACATATTTGGGGTAGTTTAAGATAGATAAGTCAAATTCCAGGGCATGTGACCCTAATTCTCATCCTTTTAGACTAAAAGTTCCTCATATCCTAAGAAGCTGGGGATGGACTAGGGAGGACCCTTGTTCTCAAATCACAAAAACCGCAACTACGCCATTGTTTGAATAAAGTAAGAAAGGACAAGTTGGGAGTGTGTTTTTAATACACACACACACACACATACACAACTTCCAACACACACACACACCGAGATAGCTGCAGAAGACCATCCAAATGAAATAAAAATCTGTAACCCAGAATTTCTTTTGCATCCCAGAAGTAAAGGGAGCTAAATCACCCAGTTTTCTCCATTGTGTCTCCTCGTTGTGTTGCTATTGTTAGACAACTGAGAAACGGAATCTCACTGATTTTCTCCAGAGTCACTGAAGTTCCAGATTCACCTTTTTGCCACTTTGGGCTAGAAAGCTAGTTTTAATACAAGCCACCACTCGGTTTTAATGCTTATCTTCCAGCTTGGGCAGTTTTTTGCAATCCTTGCTTGGCACCAGAGAGCCTGGGCAGCCCCTGGTGGGCATATCGTATTGCCAGCACTCCGCCTTTGAGGCGTAAACCCCAGAGAACATAAAAAGGCTCATTCCACACAATAATATATACAACTCCAGGTTTCATGGACTCCTGGTTTGCTTAATCCAGTTTTCAGGATTCACACGATATCCTGAACCATAAATGCATCCAAACTAGTTAGGTTCAGACCATCCACTAAAGTACGGTTGACTGATTGATGGGTGTTGTTACAACCAATATGACACAATAAGATATATGTTCATCGCCTTGCCCAACCGCATTTGCTTAGGCACAGTTTACTGAACAAACCACTCTTGGTTTCAAAGAACACGCTGAGCCCTAAATCTTGGTTTACAGGCTAAACCCCTGAACCCAACTGTGGTTAATTCCTGTAGAAATTCTGCCAAAGGCCCCTACTGCACAGCCCTGATTTTCAGCAGATTCATCCTTTGTTCCTCGTTTCCTCTCCCGTTCCCCCCCCCTTTCCATTTATCACCTCTAGACTGTTGAAATTAAGCCTTCCTTTCTCACCCCATTAATGGCCACTTCACCCTGGGAGAATGGCAGAGATCCATTTAGTAGAAACCAGGATTTAAATATATCTATATATCTATATATTGTTCCCGTCAAGACTGCCGACATTCCGTCACATCGTAAGGTGTCCATGAAATGGAACTTCATCTGACAATCTTGTCGAAAGCCTCCAGCTTATTTCTGAGCGGAAAGTGGATGGAACTCACTCCTTAGTAATGCAATTATTTTTATTTTTTTTTGCAATTAAAACATTAAGGATCAGGAGTCGGCTTTCATCTCGTGGACGATGAAGAGAATGAGGATAAAATCATAATGGCCAAGTGTTACTCCGACTCTCTGCCCACTCTGGAGGGTCTTAGCATTCCTTCTGTCAAAGGGGATTTTCTCTTCCACCGAACACCCAAACCCAAGACAATCTCTTCAACCATTCCTTCATTCGTCTAATTATCCGCTTTTCACGGAACATCTCCATCAGTTACTCTATCGGTTCTTTTTTTTTTTCTTTTCTTTCTCCAATGCCCACTTTGATGGGAATCTCTCCTGTCCTTCTGCTTTATCTTGTAAATCCTGCACCCCAGGCTGTTCATACCCCAGGAGATTTGCTCTCTAGGTTTTTGACTTCCCTTTGGTGTCTTTGTAAAACCCCTTGTTCGGAAGCTCACCTGTTTGACGTGCCCTCCCTTCACACTTCCTATGCCTTCGCCCCGCTCCCTCTTGACTTCCCCAAAGGGGCCGGGTACACTTCCTCCCCCCTTCCCCAACCCCCCCCCCCCCCCCCCCCCCCCGCTACACCGGACTACAGTTCCCATCCACATGCGAAAAACTCCACAGCTGTCTTACAGCACCTCTATAAAAAAAAATATTGAAATAGTTGGCACCCACAATAAATAAATAAATAAATAAATAACAGAAAAAACCCACCACCCCTTTTTCCTTCCTTCCATCTTCCAATTCCGGCAGCCGTCAACGTACTTCAGCGGAGTCCCCTTCCTTCTCTCTCTTGCGAACTCTTCACCTCCCTTCTCTCCCCCCCCCCCCCTCCGCCTCTCCTCGCCCCCCCCTCCCCCCCCCCCCCAAAAAAGCCTTTTCTTTTCCATGGGTTTTTTTTTTTAAAAAAAGGGGGAAAGGCAGCCTATATTTTTAAAAAAATAAAAAAATAATAAATAAATAAAACACTTCTTTGTCCCAGTGCTAAAGGGAGGGGGGAAAAAAAGAGAGAGAGAAATTCTCGGGTGGTCTTGGTGAGGCTGGGCAATAATGCAGCCGGTCACTTTCCAAAGCGGTGAAACTGACTTGACCAGATCCCCCGGCACAGTTCCAAACCTAACAAAAAAAAAACACGACCTACCGGGTCACCCCCCCCTACTCCCCTCAGCCCCTTATCTGCCAAAAGATCCCCCCCCTCAAAATATAGACTCCCCCACCCTCCCTCTTCTCTTCTCTCTATCACCATATATACTCTCCCGGTTTGGGGGTTTTCTTTCATTGTTTTTTTCCCGCCCTGAAGCGCCTTGTCAGGCTCGAGCAGCGGAAGGCAAAGGCGCATCCTGAGAGTCCAGCCGGCTTGGGGCGTGCGCGGGTTTGGGCTTAAAACAAAAGCTCGCTTCTAAAGCCAGCCAAGAGATGCTGCCGAAAAGAAACCGGAGCCGGGCGGGTAAAAAAAAGCAAAAGAGTCCGTCAAAAAAAAAAAAAAAAAAAAAAACACCCCATTTTTCTCCCCCAAGTTGGAACTTTCTCTCTTTTTTTTCTTCCCCTCAAACCCCCCCACCACCTTTTTTTTTCCAAAGGCAAACGACCAAGAGCAGCCCCCTTACCTGGATCGCCTTCAGACTCTGCAGGAATGCATGGCTTCCACCGCGGTGAAGCAGCCCCTGCCCGCCTGCCTTCCTTCCTTCCTTCCAGGCGAGCGCCGCCAGGGGTTCAAATACCGCCGGCTCCCAGGCGGAGGAAGGGGAGGGGGTGGGAGATTTTAATTTATTAAAAAAAAAAAGAGGTGTGGGTGGGGGCGATCGACCCGCTCAGAGGGGGCTGAGCCCCATCAGTTGCATCCCCCTGCAAAGGAGGGGGGGGAGAGGGGTGTGTTGTGGGGAGGGGGGGTAGGTGGTCTGCAGCCAATCCCAGCGAGCAGCTTGGGAAACAAAGGGGGCACCCGGCGCGATTCAGCCGGGGGGGAGCTGCAGAGAGGTTGGCAGGCCCCCCCTCCCTGCGCCCTGCTTCTCCATGGAGGGGTGTGTGTGGGGGCGTGGGGGGGGGGAGAGCCAGACAGGATGCAACCCCTTCCTCCGGCTCTCTCCGACCCTTCCCCGCTCGCCCTGCCTGCCTTGTCCCACCTGCCCGCTCGCTCCTCGGCAGAAAGACGGAGCGAAACGGCATCGCAAGACAAGAAGGGGGTGGGGGTGGGGATGGGGGTGGGGGGTGAGCGGCGCATGCGCTCATGGGCTCACCCCCATCCTGTAAATCTAGGTGGGGGTGGGAAAGGGGTGGCTGGCAGAGACAATGATCTCCTATTTCTTTCCCCCCTCCCCTTTTAAAGTCCATCAATGGGGACTTTAATTAAAAAAAGTTTAGGGGTGCATCCCATAATGGTTAGATAACTGGTTGTGGGGGTCAGATGGGATCGTTTTAGATCTAGACTGGACAGCCAGATAGGAGATGAATGAAATGGATGAAATGGGAAATAGGGCAGGGATGAAATCCAGCAAGTTCTGAACGGTTCTGGAGAACCGGTAGCGGAAATTTTGAGCAGTTCGGAGAACCGGCAAATGCCACCTCTGGCTGGCCCGCTCCAGAGTGGGGTGGGAATGGAGATTTTGCAGTATCCTTCCCCTGGAGTGGGGTGGGAATGGAGATTTTGCAGTATCCTTCCCCTGGAGTGGGGTGGGAATGGAGATTTTGCAGTATCCTTCCCCTGCCACGCCCACCAAGCCACACCCACAGAACCAGTAGTAAAAAAAATTGGATTTCACCACTGGGATAGGGTCTCCTGCTTGAACAGGGGGTTGGACTAGAAGACCTCCAAGGTGCCTTCCAGCTCTATTCTGATTGATTGATAGATAAAGGGAGGGCAGATACCGCAGTTATTGATAAGGGGGAGGAGAGATTCTTCTTCTTGTTGTTGTGCCATATCTGTCATTGGACGTTGGCGATCATCTTGGCGATCCTATTTTTATCAACAGCCGCACGAAAAAAGTGCTGCTGAATTTTATCCAAACCAGTCTCTTTAGATTTTGAAGCCATCTTCTGCCTGGACCTCGTTTGCCTTCAATGTTTCTTTGGAGGATTAAGCGAAGGATGCCGTATTTTTCCGGGCGTCGCATCACATGTCCGAAATATTCTAACTTTCGCTTTTTTTATGGTTTTGAGAGATAGATTTTTGAGAGGAGAGATAGAAAGAGAATTGCACACCGTGCCTATTTCTTCTTATCTGGAAGTTTGGGTTGTGCCTCCAGCTGTACTGGGTTTTTTTTTTTTTTTAAATAGGCAACTTAAGATTCTAGTCCTCATGACTGGAATAAATTAAACCTTAAGAAACTACCTACAACCCAGACTCTAGCATTTCTGTTGGATACCTTTCCCCACTTTAGCTGTAAATGCCTTTGAATCTATGGCTGCCCCTACTGTGACTTGAGCTTTTGCCTCAGGATTGGTTTTCAGAGGTTTTCCCCAGCTGGATTTGAAGATTTATATATAATTATATATTTTATATTTTGATTAAATGTATATGCCTTTTTTCTCTCAGAGTTTAAGGCACTTTGCGCAGGGATGTCACTTTATTTGATTTCCATAACAGCAACATATAAATGGGGATGGGCTAGCAGAGAGTGACTAGGCCCAAATCCACCCACCTGGTTTTCATGGCTGACAGTGGATTCAAATCTGGGTCTTCCCAGCAGAGCCGTTTTCCACTACAGGCAGTCCTCGACTTACGACCACAACTGAGCTCAACATTTATGTTCCTAAGCGAGACCGTTATTGAGTTTTGCCCCCATTTTACGACCTTTCTTGCCACCGTTGTTAAGTGAATCACTGCAGTTAGTGACACTAACTAGTCACTGCTAAATTTGTAACATGGTTGTAAAATGAACCCGGCTTCCCCCATTGACGTTGCTTGCCAAAAGGTCGCAAAAAAATAATTACATGACCCCACGACACTGCAATCGTCATAAATACGAGTCAGCTACCAAGCTGCAAAGGTTGCAAGTGTGTCATTAGTCACATTTTTCAGTGCCGTTAAAACTTCTAATGGCCACTCAATGAATGGTTGTAAATTGAGGACTAGTTGTTGTGCCAACCTGGAGCCAGAGAGTGTTTTTCCATGCAAAACCATAAATTTAACCTGAAATTCCTCTTAGTTTTGAGGCTTCCTCTGATATTTTTGATGCCTTTTTCTCCACATTCATGAAATCTACACATTTGAGACACAATTCGGCTTCATTTCAGAAGAATGCAAAATTCAGTCTTGGTTAGGTGTACGTGATTTTGTCTTATGCTCAGTTTTCAGGAGGTTGAAAGCTGCATCTACCGTAAAGACCGTTATTACCAACCTTTGCAATTGGGGCCGAACTGCTCCAAAGCAACTGACTCAGTAGAAGGACTCTGACTGCTTTCACTAGAGATTAAATCCACATTTCTATAAGGAAGCAATACGCCTTCTGGTCTATGGAGATTCTCAGCCGTCCAGATCATGGTTGTCCCATGTTTTTTCAAGAGGCAACTGGACTTTCTGGGTTTTTTTGAAGAGGTTTCACTTCTCATGCAAGAAGCTTCTTCAGCTCTGACTGGATGGTGGGGAATGGAAGGATTTATACTCCTTGCAGACAGCAAGATAAAGAGCCATCTATGTCAAAATTGAACAGCCCTCTTTCAACAGAGGGGGAAGGATATGACATCATCTATCTCCAGTCTACAACACAGTCCTTTCAACAAGTTCCAAGAAGGCTCCACACCAGTGGTGAAATCCAAATTTTTTTACTACCAGTTTTGTGGGCATGGCTTGGTGGGTGTGACAGGGGAAGGATTCCGCAAAATCTCCATTCCCACCCCACTCCAGGGGAAGGATACTGCAAAATCCCCATTCCTTCCCCACTCCTGGGGGAAGGATATTGCAAAATCTCCATTTCCATCCCACTCTGGGGCCAGACAGAGGTGGCATTTCCCGGTTGTCTGAACTGCTCAAAATTTCCACTATCGGTTCTCCAGAACCTGTCAGAACCTGCCCCTGCTCCACACCTATTTGCACCACTCAGGTGACCCTGAGGATACAGATAAACCTCCAGGGAGCCTCAACGACTCTCTAAAAGGATGCAAATGATCAGCTGTCTGCAAGGAGTATAAATCCTTCCATTCCCCACCATCCAGTCAGAGCTGAAGAAGCTTCTTGGATGAGAAACGAAACATCTTCAAAGAAAAAACAGAAAGTGCAGTTGCCTCTTGAAAAAAAAAAAACACCTTTGGGACAATACAGCTTCTTCTCACTGAAAAGCATCATTCACTTAGGAATCATTCGAAGTTACCACAGCCTTGAAAAAGAGTGACTTACAACTTGTCCTCCCACTTATGACCATCACGGCATCCCTGTGGTCGCGTGATCAAAATTTGGACTCTTGGCCAATGGATGGATTTGTGAAAGTTGCAGTGTCCCGGATCACATGATTTTCATTTGCAACCCATCAGTTTCCAACAAGCAAAGTCAATACGGGGAAACCACACAATTCATTTAACAACCACATCGATTCGCTTAATGACCATGGCAGAAAAGGTCATAAAATCAGGTGTGACTCGCTTAACAACTGCTTCACCTAACAACAGAAGTTCCAGTCCAATTATGGTTGTAAATCGGGGACTGCCTATACTTGTAAAAATATTGGTCATTCCATAGTATAAACCTGTGGATCATCAATTTTGTTTAATGTTGTTCACCAACAGAGAGTTTGGGACTCTTTTCCAGCCCTGGACAATCTGGAGATTCTGTTTGGAAGGCATGTGGTTTATATCACCAAGAGTAATTCAAGATTCTGAATAAAGCACTGATTTAAAGAATAACATGAGAAATTGGATACACTTAATCTGAGAACAGAATGCTATGGGAAAATACAATAGCTGTTTCTCCTGTACCTAAAAGTCTGTTGTATGGAAGATGGAGAATTGTTCAAAATTGTTTAGAAGGTAGGACAAGGAATAATGGTTAAAATTGAACAGAATAACAGAGTTGGAAGGCACCTTGGAGGTCTTCTAGTCCAACCACCTGCTCAAGCAGGAGACCCTATACCAATGATGGCTAACCTTTTTGCTGTCGCATGCCAAAAATGGAGGGAGCGCGGGGGGTTTGCGGGCGGGCGTGGCCACACCCATAATCCAAGGCATCCCGCACATGCGCACGTGACCCCCCCACTCCCCCAGCTTTTGGTAAACGATGGAACAGTGGGCCCGTTTTTCACCCTCCCCAGGCTCCAGAGGCTTTCTAGGAGCCTGGGGAGGGCAAAAACTGCCTTCCCGACCCCCCCGGAGGCCCTCAGGAGGCTGGAAATAGCCCGTTTCCCAAAGTCCGGTGGGCCCGGAAGGGCTGAAAATCAGGTGGCCGGTGCTACTATTAAGCCTGGTTTCACCCAGTCTATATGTGTACTTTTGGTTTTTCTTGCCTAAGTGTAAGACATTATTTTTCTCTAAAATTGAATTTCATTTTATTAAATAGGGCCCAGTGTTCCAGTCTGTCTTCTCCTTACTTCTTGGTTGCTTCTTTCCTTGATTACTTTCCATCCATTGCTTCTTGTGCTGCCTTCAGGTGCTTTGGAGAATAGGTTGTCCCTCTCTTCTTTGTTAAGAGCCTCTCAAATATTGGCAAGACCGCTATCGTTTTAATCAGCTACAATTTTAGCTGGAAGGAAATTTTAGCTGGACTTTTAAGAATATCCAAAAAGTAAGAGCTGTTTAATAATGGAACAGACAGCCTTGGGAAGTGTTTACTTTCTTTCACTAAAGGTGTTTATTTAAACCAGTGTTTCTCAGCCTCAGCAACTTTTAAGATGCATGGGCTTCAGCATCTAGAATTCCCTAGCTAAAAATGCTTGCCAAGCATGAGCAATGCCCAGACAGAAAGCTTTCGTACACCGTCTGGATCTACCTTACCATTGCACTAGCTAGTCCTCGAATTACGACCACAACTGGGACCAGAATTTCCACTGCTAAGTGATGCAGTTGTTAAGTGGGTCATCATGCAATGTGGGTCTGATTTTACAGCACTGTCCGAAGACGTCTCTGTGGTCATGTGGCTGGCATGACTAAACGCCAAAGGCACACAGAACGCTGTTACCTTCCTATTGCTTAACGCATTGTAAGCCACCC